TGGAACATTTGGATCAAATATCTGGAGCCATGTGCTTTAGTTGTTCTTATAAGCTACTAAACTTCTTACATGCATGGGATTAATGTTTGTTCATATGAATATGAACTATGGCTATGTGGCTGATGATATTCCTAAACAACAGCTGACCTGATTTTACTTCAAGGGAAGTCTTCTCTTCAAACCTGCTTGTGACACTTTCATTAGCAATGGCACTGTTTTTGGAATGTGTTCCTATCTCAGTGCAGGAGGTCTTTGTTCAGGGAAGAACAGCCTTATCCTCCTGCATCTTCTACAGCAGAAGTACCTTGTACAGTCTACTTCCCTTTCAAGCTGCAGGACTTGAATCCCGTGTCCTCTTCCCCTCTGTCCAGTCGTCTTCATTAAGGTGTACCTCCACTTTTTTAATTGTGGTATCAATTGTTAATTCTGCTGGATCTTCTGGTAGTTTGCTCCACTGCATTGGTGCTTAGGTTTTCCCCTTTAGCCTCAATTCTAGACCTTTGAGTCAGGCTACTCTTTATCTTTCCCAGGTTTTTTTCAGTTTTCTTCATCCTGGAATCTATATTTCCTACACTAATAGGAGCCTATCTTTGGGAATGGTATCCCCCTTAAATCTTGCACTCTAGTTTGCAAGAAAGTCATTTTTCCGTTACAGGTGGTTCCACCCCTTGAAGTACTTGACTTTCCTCAACCCTTACCTTTTTACTGAGGGACTTTCTTGACCTAAAGTTGACAGGGATCAGTCCTTACTGCCCATTTCCCTAGTAAGGACTTGACCCTTCAGTTTACTTCACCAGCACCAGTCCAGGCTTCCAACACAAGGCCTTATGCCCACCCTTGTTCCTCTTCTTAGCATACCATAAGGCCTTGTGAAACATTTAGGAGACTTTCCCTGAAATGTACTAGATTCAGGCTCACTAAACAATACAAAGGGTCCTATTGTCTAGAAATCTTGTTTAGATGTGACTGGATGGCCTTTTGAGTAAGGCTGTTTAGCTAAAGTTCTGGACTCTTTGGACCAAGAAGTCCCAGACGCTATTTGCCATTCTCAGGTCTGTGAGAGGATGGTCCCTTCTGCTCACCCTGGGACCCCCCCCCCCCGTAAAAGGCATATTCTCCTGGCTCTGAATTAACCTCCACTGCACATCATCTACATACTGCAGAATCTTCACTTCCAGAAAGGTTTAGTAACTCCCTCTGCAACAGATATGGTAACCAGCTCCCTACGCTGAACCACATTGACCGTGTCATTTGTGACTACACTGCTTTTTCTAAAGTTTTCGGAATTTCCTAAACTGATGGCTCCCTCATTGAAGAGTGAGGATTCAGCTCTTGAGTACCCCTGCTTTCCTTCTTGGAAGAAAGTGCCAATCACTGGAGGATCCTGTACTGCCCTTGACCATCAGCAGACAGTTCACACCAGTACCCAACTGAAGTATGAGAGAGGCTGGGTTATATGGGAGATGGCTTCAATGTTTTTTGTTTGCCCATGTCACACCTCCTCCTATACGTGGCAGTGTAAACCTTACTGTCTAAGGATTTCTGTATCTCTCAATTGCCATCAAGAAAAAGGTTTTATGGTAAGTAGAAAAATCATATTTTTTTTGTACTCGCTGTAAAATCCTCTTTTCTGCTTTCACTGGAGGACACAACATCTACCTCTTTTGTTGCTGATCATGTTTTGTCTGCCGTTTGTCTTTTGTGTTTAAGTTGTGCCTAATTTTTAGGGCAACCAGATGACTGTTAATCAGATGATCAACTCCTGTCAAGTGGGGACTGCCACACACTGACCAGAATTAGACCGGTCCATGCTGAACTGGCTGAATTGGCTAAATGTAAATCAATGTATGGCCAGCTTTACTGCACATTACAGGTGCACAGAGCAGAGCTGTGCAAGGATCCCAGCAGCTCCACCCACCTTAGGCTGCCTGTAAAATAACTATAGGGGACAAATACAAGACCAGTCACCCTGCACAGGGAGAGATGAGCAGCAATGATAGATTCTGCACAGAGACAAAGTACAGGGATTGTTTAATGCAGGGCTACTGTACTTATCTGGAATTAATAACTGTCATGTTGCCTGCTCTGATCTTTGCTTTCTTGAGGAGCTGTTTCAGCTAAAGAATCTATAGCAGCCTACACACTTCTGGATGTGATGGATGCTCGGATTCATGCTGCACAGTGTGGTTCCACCAGCTAATGAGTGTAGAATGACATAGCAGCTGGAAGGTGGAACTACAAGGTGCAATAGGAGACCAGACTTATGTCACACCCCAAAGTGTGTCAGGGATGTTGAATTCCTATCAGCTGACACCTGGAACATGCAGTTGCGGGCGCCAGGCAAGAAGTTATTTTTTACATTTATCCCTGCTGCTGCTGGCAAACAGCAGGGTTTAGAGCCGCCCTCCCGTAGGCTGTCCCTATCGACTAGCCAGCAATTCGGCTGGCTGATAATAGAGGTGGCAGTGGTGGACAGATCAGTACCTTCTCCCCTAGCAGAGATCAGGCAGCTCCCCTGTGTTCTGCTCCTCCCCGGCCTCAAGGTGGAGCCTGCTATGAGGCTCGCAGTGATTGGGCAGAACTTGAGGAGGGGGTGTGGCAGGCCTCGGATATGATCACTACTTGCAGCAAGTGTGCTGATTTGACAGAAGGCTGTAGGACTGGTATGTGTGCTGTGAAGCGGCTGAGTGAAGAGATAGTGATCGGGAAACACATGCTAACACTTTAATGCTAACACAGAAGAGAATGAGTGGATATGGTTAACCCTTTTATTGCTGGCATATGAGATCCCAGTTGGAAGTGCATGATTAACAGTTTCAGATATGTATTGGAAGTGTATGATTAACCATTTCATTGTTAGCAGATCCCTGGTGGAAATATGCATTTGCATTAGGAATTGGTTCGCATTGAAATGGTTAATCATATGCTTCCAACACATATCTGAAAGGGTTAATCATGCACTTCCAATTGGGATCTCATCTGTCAGTAAGGGTTAACCATGTCCAGTCACCAGGAATCTTTTAGCAATTAAACTTTCATTGCAAAAAGATCCATGGTGATTGGACATGATTATCCAAGTGGTGGAACTACCTGGGTCTCAAAGGTCACACTTGCGACCAGGCCCTGGCATTTCGCCACCATGGGAGGGCCCCAAGACGACACAAAAGGGTCCCACTGTGGGACCATAATAAAGGACCTTGAAATCAGTGGGAAGGGTCCCGGGACCAATGGAAATGACCCCAGGGGTCTTTCTTGTTTTTTTGCAATGGGGCTCTGAAGGTTCTACCTACACCACCGAGAGGCAGACAAAGACCGCAACCACTCTGTCCACCTCTATGAGATAGGAAACAGGAAGAGATGACCATACATCACTTCGAGTTTCCCTGGTACCAATTTTAAAAATGGAAAGCTTTTGATCACACTGATCGTTGTGTGATCAAATGCTTTTAAGGGCAGAAGAGGAATCTGGGTCTGATTGACCCCAGATCTCTCCATAAAGAATACCTGTCACTTCCTATTGCTGTCACTAGGGATGTTTACATTCCTTGTGACAGCAATTAAAGTGATTAAAAAAAAAAAAAAAGCATCCTTGCACCCCCCCCCCCCCCCCCCCCCCGTGCTCATGTGCAAAGGCAAACGGATGTGTCAGTCCCGCACACATGCAAACAGCAATCGTCCCACACATGCAAGGTATCAACGTGAATGTCAGATCATGGACAGCAATTCTAGCTCCAGGACTCCTCTGTAAATCTAAATTGGTAACTTGTGAAGGCTTTTGGATAGTCAACTATGGATAATAAAATTTACGTTGTTTGTTACCATTGCACGGGCAGGCACATGGGCAGGCTGTGCAAATACCATGTGACATAAAAAATGGCAATCTCACTTATTTATTCTCTAGAGCCTCTGCTTTAAAAAATATATAATGTTTGGGGATTATAAGAAATTTTCTAGCAATGGATAAACATTTAAAAATGAAAAGGGCTTTATTGGCAACTTAAACTTTTAAAGCGCCTCAGCCTATCAGCCTAATAACCCGCAACCCTTCATATTTTCCATTCTGCAAAAAAAATTTTTTTTTTTTTTTATCAGGACAAGTAGATTGTCATAAGGAACAAGCACGGTAGTTTGGGACCCCGATTTAGTCTTTGGACAAATAGTTTTTTAAAAGTTTCCACACCCCTGTGTGTTGTATACTGAAGTTTCTTTGTCCACTGTAGCTCTTCAAGAGAGTGAAAATGGGAGGTGTAAGTAGGGGAGGTTAGTATTGTTAACCACAAATCTCTTTGACTCATTTGGCCTCAAATGTCCTTATTTAAAGAGAGTATCATCAAGGAGAGCACATTTAAATTTTTATGAATTTATCTAAAAACTAAAAACATTTTCTGTTGTTGCCTTTACATTTTTACCAGCTTGCTTCTACATAATTTATTGCATTAATAGATTTACAAAAAGAACATAGCTCATCCCCCACAGGTAAAATCTTTTCTACCACTTGCCCCACCCTATTAGATTGTAAGCTCTTATGAGTAGGGCCCTCTTAATTCTCTTGTTTTTAATTGCATTGAAACTGTACTGTCTCCCTTCATATTGTAAAACGCTGCGCAAACTGTTGGCGTTATGTAAGTCCTGTATAATAATAATTGTTTTCAGTGATTTGGACAACTAGATATGCATTCTCTGCAAAATCAGTAAAGCAGAACCTTTGTGTAGCACTGCAAAGCAGGAATTAGCACTTCCAAGAAAAGTAAGCAGCGCTCAGAAACTGTCAGCAGTGCAATAAATTCTGTTTCACAAAACAGCAGACAAATGATGTAGGAGGCTCCAGTAATGTACAGTGACGTCACAATTCTGGCTGGCTAATGTAGCAGGAGGGTACAGTTCACAAGCTTAATCATATTTATAAATATTTTCTTAGGAAAACAAGCTCACAAATATGTACTTCAACAATGTTCAGCTGTTTGGCTAGAGTTTTGCTTTAATGCTTGTGTCTGTTCTAGGCTAATGATGGCATCAAGATGCAGAAAGAAGACTGTATCTATGTAGGAGGTAATGGTCACTTTTTATAGTTTTGATTTGAGTAGGGTCCACTGGATATATTCAGCTGGTATATTCAGCCTCTCTAGATGTCCTGGTGACCATTTTTTCAGGACTGAGTGAGAGAAGAACAATCGAAAAATGTGAGCTGTCACTGCAATAGAATACAGTCAGGTCCATAAATATTGGGACATTGACACAATTCTAACATTTTTGGCTCTATACACCACCACAATGGATTTGAAATGAAACGAACAAGATGTGCTTTAAAACTGCAGACTGTCAGCTTTAATTTGAGGGTATTTACATCCAAATCAGGTGAACGGTGTAGGAATTACAACAGTTTGCATATGTGCCTCCCACTTGTTAAGGGACCAAAAGTAATGGGACAATTGGCTTCTCAGCTGTTCCATGGCCAGGTGTGTGTTATTCCCTCATTATCCCAATTACAACGAGCAGATAAAAGGTCCAGAGTTCATTTCAAGTGTGCTATTTGCATTTGGAATCTGTTGCTGTCAACTCTCAAGATGAGATCCAAAGAGCTGTCACTATCAGTGAAGCAAGCCATCATTAGGCTGAAAAAACAAAACAAATCCATCAGAGAGATAGCAAAAACATTAGGCGTGGCCAAAACAACTGTTTGGAACATTCTTAAAAAGAAGGAACGCACCAGTGAGCTCAGCAACACCAAAAGACCCAGAAGACCACGGAAAACAACTGTGGTGGATGACCGAAGAATTCTTTCCCTGGTGAAGAAAACACACTTCACAACAGTTGGCCAGATCAAGAACACTCTCCAGGAGGTAGGTGTATGTGTGTCAAAGTCAACAATCAAGAGAAGACTTCACCAGAGTGAATACAGAGGGTTCACCACAAGATGTAAACCATTGGTGAGCCTCAAAAACAGGAAGGCTAGATTAGAGTTTGCCAAACGACATCTAAAAAAGCCTTCACAGTTCTGGAACAACATCCTATGGACAGATGAGACCAAGATCAACTTGTACCAGAGTGATGGGAAGAGAAGAGTATGGAGAAGGAAAGCAACTGCTCATGATCCTAAGCATACCACCTCATCAGTGAAGCTTGAACGGTGGTAGTGTAATGGCGTGGGCATGTATGGCTGCTAATGAAACTGGTTCTCTTGTATTTATTGATGATGTGACTGCTGACAAAAGCAGCAGGATGAATTCTGAAGTGTTTCGGGCAATATTATCTGCTCATATTCAGCCAAATGCTTCAGAACTCATTGGACGCCGCTTCACAGTGCAGATGGACAATGACCCAAAGCATACTGCAAAAGCAACCAAAGAGCTTTTTAAGGGAAAGAAGTGGAATGTTATGCAATGGCCAAGTCAATCACCTGACCTGAATCCGATTGAGCATGCATTTCACTTGCTGAAGACAAAACTGAAGGGAAAATGCCCCAAGAACAAGCAGGAACTGAAGACAGTTGCAGTAGAGGCCTGGCAGAGCATCACCAGGGATGAAACTCAGCGTCTGGTGATGTCTATGCGTTCCAGACTTCAGGCTGTAATTGACTGTAAAGGATTTGCAACCAAGTATTAAAAAGTGAAAGTTTGATTTATGATTATTATTCTGTCCCATTACTTTTGGTCCCTTAACAAGTGGGAGGCACATATGAAAACTGTTGTAATTCCTACACAGTTCACCTGATTTGGATGTAAATACCCTCAAATTAAAGCTGACAGTCTGCAGTTAAAGCACATCTTGTTTGTTTCATTTCAAATCCATTGTGGTGGTGTATAGAGCCAAAAATGTGAGAATTGTGTCGATGTCCCAATATTTATGGACCTGACTGTATATTGCAGGAAACCTGTTTTGGTGACAACTGTCTAATAAGGGATCTCTTTTTCTACTGTTGCTTCCCCAGGACAAGAAGTGAGGGGAATATCCTAAAATTAAGACATAGAGCAAAAAATAAAATGACAATTTTCAACCCTTCTCTTCACTATTAAAAAAAAAAAAAAAAAAAAAAACTTCCAAAAAAAAAACTTTGATTGTACATACATTTTATTTAAAATAGAGTTGCCATATGGGGGTCGTGATAAGTGATCTTATTTTGTCCACACAGATGCTGCAGGGAGACCTGCAAATTGGGCTCCAGACCGCAAGAAGAAGGATTTCTCATGCAGTGACCGCTTGGTAGGAAGCTACAGAGCAAATAATCTGGCTGTATTTCAATTTATTGTACTAATTGTTGTAATGTTCTGCAGTTTGCTCTTAATATTGGCATACAGTTCTACACACCAGAAGAGTTTTTTCTTGGATGGAAGAAGGCTCCGTTTCAGCTTCCTACCTTTAACCCGGTAAGTCTTAAGTTTAGTTCATATGACAGCATTTATTCCAGGAGCTAATTCAGTAAATGTTTTTGTATAGAGTAAATATAATTTAGTAACACACACACACATTCGGTTCAGAAATTAAGTTATGTTTAATAAAATGGAATGGGGAAAATAGTAGTGAACACACTAACTGAAATTTATTTAATACTTTTGTACAAAATTCTTTGGTAATGACAGCTTCAAGACGCCTCCTGCATGGAGAAACTAGTTGCATGCATTGCTCAGGTGTGATTTTGGCCCATTATTTCAGACAAACAGTCTTCAAATCTTGAAGGTTCCGTGGGCCCCCTTTATGAACTCTTATCTTTAGTTCTTTCCATAGATTTTCTAGTGGATTCAAGTCAGGTGATTGGTTGGGCCATTCTAGCAGCTTTATTTTCTTTCTTTGAAAGCAATTGCTGAAATGTCCACCCTTGTTTCATCTTAATCATCCTGGTAGATGGCAGCAGATTTTTAGCAACAATGACTTGGTACATTTTTCCATTCTTCCTTCCTTCAGTGATATGAAGTTTGCGAGTACCATATACTGGAAAACAACCTCACACCCACATGATGTTCACAACTCAAAACTTCACTGTTGGTGTGGTGTTTTTGGGATGATGTACAGTGCCATTTGACCTCCAAAACATGGTGTATATTATGGCATCCAAAGAGTTCAGTTTTGGTCTCATCTGACCAGACTATATTCTCCCAGTATTTCACAGGCTTGTCTAAATGTTGTACGAACTTTAAATGAGCTTCAACATGCTTTTTCTTCAGCAATGGAGTCTTGCGTGGTGAGCGTGCATACAGGCCGTGGCGGTTGAGTGCATTACTTATTCTTTTCTTTGAAAAAATTGCACCTTCTAATTCCAGGTCTTTCTTGAAGCTCTCCACAACTGGTCCTTGGCTCTTTAACAACTCTTCTGAAAATTCAGAAATCTTGCGAGTAACACCTGGTCGTGGCCGGTTTATGGTGAAATTATGTTCTTTTCACTTCTGGATTATTGCCCCAAGAGTGTTCACTGGAACTTTCAGAAGTTTAGAAATCCTTCTGTAACCAATGCCATCAGTATGTTTTGCAACAATAAGGTTACAAATGTCTTGAGAGAGCTCTTTGCGTTTACCCATCATGAGATGATTCTTGTGTGACACCTTGGTAATGAGACACCTTTTTATAGGCCATCAGTTAAGACTGAACCAGTTGATATTAATTTGCACTGACAAGGGGCAGAATTGCTTTCTAGTTACTGATAGATTTCAGCTGGTGTCTTTGCTTTCCATGCCTTTTCGCACTTCCCATTCTTCATGTGTTCAATACTTTTTCTGTGTGTCATTCCATTTTTTTTACACATAACTTAATTTTTGAACTTACTAGTTTTGGTGTGTTTGTATGTATGGATTGCGTGGGTTGTTATGGACATGGTGAAAATTTCAATAACCGTTTTAGAAATATATTTACCTAGAAAAATGGTGACATGTTCAATACCTATTTTACCTACTGTGTTTGTGTGTGTGTGTGTGTGTGTGTGTGTGTGTGTGTGTGTGTGTGTGTGTGTGTGTGTGTGTGTATACACAGGTGCTCTGGTCAGATGAGACCAATATTGAACTTTTTGGCCTAAAATCAAAACACTATGTGTGACGGAAAACTAACACACTGAGCATCACCCTGAACACACCATCCCCACCATGAAACATGGTGGCAGCATTATGTTGTGGGGATGCTTTTCTTTAGCAGGGACAGGGAAGCTGGTCAGAGTTGATGGAAAGATAGATGGAGCCAAATACAGGGCAATTTTAGAAGAAAACCTGTAAGAGTCTTCAAAAGACTTGAGACTGGGGCGAAAGTTCTCCTTCCAGCAGGGCAATGACCCTAAACATACAGGCAGAGCTACAATGGAATGCTTTAGTTCAAAGCAAATTCATGTGTTTAGAATGACCCAGTCAAAGTCCAGACCTAAATCCAATTGAAAATCAAGTGGCAAGACTTGAAAATTGCTGTTCACAGATGCTTAACATCCAATTTGACAGCTATTTTGCAAAGAAGAATGGGCAAAAATTTCACTCTCTAGATTTGCAAAGTTGGTAGAGACATACCCAAAAAGACTTGTGAAAGGTGGTTCTACAAAGTATGTACTCAAGGGGGCTGATACAAATGCACGTCACACTTTTCAGATATTTATTTGTAAAACAATTTTGAAAACCATTATCATTTTCTTTCCACTTCAAAATTATGTCTATCATATAAAATCCCAATAAAATACATTTACATTTTTGGTTGTAACGTAGTTACATAGTTAGTCTGGCTGAAAAAAGACAAAAAAACGCATCCATTTCAACAAAACAAAAAAAGTCATAATCTTATACCCACAGTTGATCCATCACAAAAATTTCAAGGGGTATGATTACTTTTTCAATGCACTGTACATCATTATATATATATATATATATATATATATATATATATATATATAATATATATATATAATCTTACAGGGTGGAGTGGAAAACACCTGACGGTGTTTAGCAGCAAATAGCACATTTATTGAGGTTATTTTTCACAAGTGTAATATTGGTATATTGTTGGGGTGACTGCAAGGATTGCCACATAATGTAAATTTCAAACCCTGTATGACCAGGTTGGTTGTACAAAAGTCATTCCACCAACTGACTTCTGTACAACCAGCCTGTCAGGTTTTCCCCAATCAATCAGTGCCACTGGCCATAGCCAGCAGCTCAGCAGTAAGAATTCCCCTATCCACACTAAGTATGTGGATGGGGGAATCTGGTCCTTTTTTTTTCATTCAACCTGCTAGTTGAACAAAAAAAAAAAATGATTAATATTATGGGCTACCTTACTCTCCACTAGCACAATATTTACATTAATGTTTACATGATGAAGAAAAGAGACATCTTGGCGCTAAATCAGTTTGTGGAAAATATTGCATTAAAAATATCAAAAGACTCGTGTTAAAAGTGCTCACCCAGCCCTAAGGATAGAAGCATTAGTATCAGGACAGTTGAATGCTTATTTCCTTATTGCTGGGTGAGCACCTTTAACATATGAGAGTTTTGAATTTTTTTTTTTTATATATACTTATGTCTGATGAAGCAGTTATCACCAGGTCAAAGAGTGAGAGGCCATTTTTCCCAGAGTTTTCGAATAGCTGTCATTTTTTGGGGGCCAGAGTGGCTATCAGGTGATGGAGGCCGGCTGGGGGAGGTCATTGGCAGCCATTTTATCATAGCCTGCAGTGGGGATCTCCCACAGGCAACTCAGGCTTGTGGGGGCAGGGTTCAGTACACACGATGTGGGGGACAGATGGTGGGACACGTGGGCACCTTGGCAACTCCTGGCGGTGGTGGTGAGCCCTTCCTCGGGTGTGGGGGGGGTTTCTCTCTTTTCTCTCTCTTTAATGGGGTGGTCTTCTAGACTGTGAGCGTCTGGGTTCCATCTTCCAGCGGTGTCTAGCTGGGGGGACTGATCCCATGGAAGCCTAGGAGCATGCTGCACCTCCTTGGTCCCTTCTGGAGGTCCCGGATCCCTCAGTTCCCCTAAACACATTGTCGGCCGTCCTGGAGATGTTCGTGTCCCGTGTGGACATGGCAGTTGGCTGCAAGGTGAGCAATAAGTGCCCCCTGCCATTGCCCTCGTCTTCTGACGATTCTGAGACCGAACCAGATCCTGCCGCCGGTTCCACATTTACCGTGGATCCTGATGACACATCCCCTGATTCCTCAGATGAGGAGGGGTCCTCTGTCTCTGTTGCTGTACAGGAGAAGGCATTGGTAGCAGCAGTTATTGATTCAGTGCGTGAAATGCTAAAAATTGAGGACTCTGCAGGGGCGGGTGATGTGGTGCCTGTTCCTTTTAATATGCAGAACCTGGTTCGGGATGCCAAGGTTTTTCCTTACCCCGAATATTTTGACAGATTTGTTTATAAGGATTGGAGTAGGCCGAATCGTCCCTTTGTGCTCCCCAAATGCTTTGCAGTGCGTTATCCCGTTAAGGAGGCCTTGCTGAAGACGTGGACCTCTCTGCCAGTGGTAGATCCTCCCATCTCCAAGCTTAACAAGGTCACGTTGATTCCAGTGGAGGAATCCCCCTCATTTAGGTATCATGCGGATTGTAGGAAAGAGGCGGTGGCCTGTTCGATGTTCACTGTTACTGGATCAGCACTTAGGCCAGTGCTGGCTATGGCCTTGGTCTCCCAGACACTGATGGAATGGGCCAAGGCTCTGCGACAAGGCTTAACTTCTAGTCCGTTGCCCCAAGCGTATGTGGAGCTGGTAGAGCGGTTGGTCCAGGGCTTAGAGTACATTTGTGACAATGATGCAGCTCCACTTCTCTCCAGACTGTCCATCACGGCCCATGAGCTCTGGCGGGTCCTTTGAGTCAAGTGTTGGTCGGTGGACCAGACCTCCAAGAAGGCTCTTGTGGACCTGCTGATTCTTTTCTCTTTTTGGCGCTACCCTGGATGACATTATCATGAACCTTACTGGGGGCAAGAGTACTTTCCTCCCTCAGGCCAAGAATGGGAAGGAACCTCGTTGGAAGTCAGGGCCGGCGTACACGGCACATAAGCACATTTTCCTTCCACCTTCTCCGTAGCCAAGGGCTCCAAGCCCTTTAAGGTCCCTGGAGGTGGCACCAAGCGTCCCTGGCCACAGAAGCCCTCCAAACTCACGGATGAGTCTCCCTCAGCATGAAGGTTTGCCCCCACCCACTTTAGTCTAGCCTTTGCACCTCGAGTGTTTACCAAGGTCCTAACCCCGGTCCTGGCCTTATTGAGATAATGGGGGATTGCAGAGATCAGCTACCTGGACAAATTGCTCCTGCGTGCAGAGACTTGCTTCTCACTACTAGACAGTGTGGAGATCAGCATGCATTCTCTACAGGACTTTGGGTGGATCCTGAACATCAGGAAGTTGATGTTGACTCCTTCCAGGCACCTAGAGTTTCTGGGGCTGACTTTCGATTCGGAGCAGGCCAATGAGTTCCTTCCGTCTGAGAAATTTTTAAAGCTCCGGGTGGTGGTTCTGCAACTCTTGGCTTGCAGAAGACCCTCTCTGTGTTTTTGCATGCAGGTGGTAGGCTTGATGGTGGCTACATTCAAGCGGTTCTGTAAACCCAGTTTCATATGAGAACACTGCAGAGGAAAATCCTATCAAAATTGAACAGGGCTTCTGCCTCCTTGGACCTTCGGGATCACCTGCAACAGTCGCTGAGGGCCTCCATTCTTTGGTGGATGAGGTCTCTGGCTCTACGGAATGGAAAGTCCTTCCTTCCCATTTGCTGGACTGTGTTCACGACAGAAGCCAGCATGTCAGGCGGGGCAGGAGTCCTGGGATCGGATTCTGCTCAGGGTCACTGGACTCCAGGGGAAGCTTACTTACCCATCAATATCCTGGAGTTAGGGCAATCAGGTTATCACTGACACATTAGACCAGGGGTGTCCAAACTATGGCCCTCCAGCTGTTGAAGTAATATAAGTCCCATCATGCCTCTGCCTCTGGGTGTCTTGCCTGTGGATGTCAGAGTCTTGCAAGGCCTCATGGGACTTGCAGTTCCTTAACACATGGAGGGCCTTAGTTTGGACACCTCTGCATTAGATGGACTGTCTGTCTGGTCTGCTGACCAGGATTCAGTTGGACAATGCCACTTTGGTGACATATGTCAATCATAAGGGGGGCACGAGAAGTGCAGCAGTGGCACTGGATGCATCCCACATTCTGCAATAGGCAGAGAGGTTTGTTTTGGCTCTGTCCGCTGTACACAATCCAGGCGTCAAAAACTGGCAAGCGAATTATGTAAGCCATCAGAGGCTAAATTGAGGTGAGTGGTCCCTACATCCGGAAATGTCCAATCAGCTCTATATTCGCTGGAGGACACCGGACGTGAATCTTCCACCTTCCCACCTCAATCAGAAGGTTCCACGGTTCGTGGTACGATTGTTGGATCCCCTGACGGATGCGTTGGTGGCGCCGTGGGATCCGTACACTCTCGTTTACGCCTTCCCACACCTCCGACTGATTCCTCATCTACTAAGGATAGAGGCCGAAAGGGATCCCACTCATCCTCATTGCTCCGGACTGGCCTCATCGTCCGTGGTTCGCCGGCGTAGTGCGATTGGTGGTAGATACTCCCTGGAGGCTGCTTCTTTGGAAGGACTTTCTGTCTCAAGGGCCAGTCTTCCACCCTGCTTTAGCGTCTCTGGCTCAGACGGCATGGCTATTGAGAGCCAGGTTCTGAAAGGACAGAGGGTTGTCTGGCTCTCTGATTCTGACTATGTTGAAGGCCGTAAGTCTACTCTCCCAGGAGATTTATCATTGCGCCTGGAAAGCCTATATTGGTTGGTGTGAAACCTTAGAGTCCCATCCTCATTCCTTTGTTGTGGCTCGGAGGTTGGCCTTCCTCCAACATGGTGTGGATCAGAGGCTTGCGTTGAATAAGATCAAAGGTCAAGTCTCTGCTCAGACTGTTTTCTTTCAGCGGCACTTAGCTACGCATTCTTTGGTTCCTTTCTACCAAAGGTGGTGTCGGTTTTTCATTTTAATGAGGATATTGTTCTTCCTTCCCTGTGTCCTCGACCAACGCACCCTAAAGAGGTGGCCCTGCATTCCCTGGATGTGGTTTGTGCAATTTGCGTGTACCTTTCTGTAACGGCTGCCTTTTGGAGGTCCGACTCTTTCTTCATCCTCATGGATGGTCCGAAGAAGGGCCTGGCGGCATCTTCTGCCACTATTTCTTGTTGAATTTGGCAGACGATTGTTCAGGTGTATGCTGTTAAGTGGCAGAAACCTCCCTTACCCGGTTAGGGTGCACTCCCCTAGGTTGGTTGGTGCCTCCTTGGCATTGCCACATCAGGCATCTGTTTCTCAAGTTTGCAAGGTCGCGACCTGGTCGTCTGTGCACAAGTTTACGAAGTTCTATAAGGTTGATGTGTTGGCATCCTCCAATGCTAGTTTTGGCCACAAAGTGTTGCAGGGGGCTGTTTAGGGCTCCTGGACCCCTCCTTTTGGGGTCTTTCAGAGCGTTGGCTTGTTGCCCTGGGGTTTTTTTCTTTCTCCATTGTATAGTTGCCCACCTCTCATTCTGGCACTGCTTGGGGACATCCCTGCTTCGTTATTGTTAAAGAGGAAGATGTTGTGTCTGTCAGTGAACGTAAGAGAAACCGGGATTTTTTTTTTTTTTGTACTCACCGTAAAATCCCTTTCTCTTAGTTCATTGACGGACACAGCACCCACCCCTCAAGGGAGATCTCTCCTTTGACACTGCTTGTGACGGACTGGAGACCTATAGCAGAGAGGGGGTTTTATACCCAAAATGGACTGCCCATAAGAGGTGCCAAGTCCTTTTTTTTTTTTTTTTCTGCCTAGTGTCCTACTCCTGTAGGTGGGGCTATACAACCCTGCTTTGTTATTCTTAAAGAGGAAACCGCTGTGTCCGTCAATGAACTCAGAGAATGGGGATTTTACGGTGAGTACAAAAACATTCCGTTATTTTTTCTTGCTGACATGATCTTGTTCTGTCGACAGAGAACACTGGATCCAAATGGTCCACTCTATGAACCCCTGTCTTCCTCTCTGGTGTCATCTTCTACAGAGGTTGTGGTGACTGTTGGCTTTCCTGGAGGTAAGCTTTGTTACAGATATACACTGATGGTGTGGCAGAACTCATATTTGCTAGCTATTTTTCTCTAAGGCCCCATTCAGACCTGAGTGTTTTGAAGCTCGAAGCTCCAAAATGCTCAAGGAGAAAAAAAAAATAACTAAAAAAATTTTTAAAAAATTAATTAACCCCCTAACCCTAAAACATTAATAAACACTGTAACAGAAAATAAATATATAAACCACAACACCAATCCTTTAAAAGATTTGGGTCACAACACGTTTACTGAAATAGGAAATACTATCCCAAGCAGAGGCCTACACTCCCTTCTACAAATTAGAGGTTATCATACGGTAAACCCGAAGACATGGATTGAAATAGACTCTAAACTATGGCATGTCTTGACTAACCCTATTCAGCTAAAAAAAGGTATTTCGTGGTTCTACAACTACTTACATTACGACAACGATCTCTATATTCTTAACAGTATAGGTAGATGGGGGAAAGATCTACGAAGATCATTCACTAGAGATGAGTGGGATGCTGCCCTGAGCAATAATTTGAGAATTGCTAAATGTACAAATCATTGGAATTGTTCTCTTAAAATATTATACCGTAGCTACCATACCTAAAATGTATCCTAATATGTCACCAATATGCTGGAGGAATTGTGGAAAGGAAGGTAACCTGCTTCATATTATGTGGGAATGCTCATGTTTTCATAATATCTGGCAAGAGGTCTTTGCACTTATTTAGCAGGTGTCTGTAATGATGTCTAGCCCAGCACCTCATTTGGCGCTACTCAATATTACCTTACACCTATTTCCTGTTTAGTTTAGAACAATAGTTGGCCATATACTTATCGCCGCCAGAATGTCTATCACTGCTGCTTGGAAATCAGTGAAGATCCCCTCCATATCGGAAGTGATCCAAAGAGTAAACTCACATTACATCTGCGAGAGAGCTGTGGCTCTTCAGTGCCAGCATATGGGGAAATTTGATTTGAAGTAGTCCTGTTGGAAAGGAAGGTTTATGCTGCACAATATGATTATATAGTATTGTATATCATATTGCTTCCTTGGCTGAAACTGTGCTCTAGTCTCATCTTTCTATCTGTCTCTTTCTCTACTCCTTTACCCCTTCCCTTTTTTGTTCCTTTTGTTTTTGTTTTTGACTATAATAAGCACGCACTATACATCTTAATGGTCACTAATTCAAGCTGGTAACTAATATTGCAAACGTTGACATGTTCTGTTATGTATACCTTTGTAGGCCAATAGGCCTGTATACAACTGTTTTCTTAGATCTGAGAGTGTACTAGCGCCATGGTACTAAGATAAGTTTATACATATTTTCTATTCTGAACTATCTATTTTATTGTAACTGTTTTGAAAAACTCAATAAAAAAGATTTGAAAAGAAAAATAAATATATAATAAGAAAATAAATAATGAACCCCTAACAAAACAAAAAAAAGAATAGTATATAAAAATATTAAATAAAAGCTGATGGAAAAGCTGAAAAACCTTGCAAACAAATGATGAAACAGATAACGTTTTTCTCTATTGGCTTGTATAAAAATGCCAAAGCTCAAAATCACTTTAAAAGCTCTGTACAAAAACGCGTTCAGGTGTGAATGCAGGTTAAAGCTATCCTTACCATGGTAGGTCCTGGAAAACTCAACACTGTTGCAATCTTCCAGACAGGGTCTGTCTTAAAATAAAAGTCTCTCAGCTGTCTTTGACATGAAACACATGAAACACCCACATAGCTCTTGGTAGCCATAGACCATGTGATCTTAAGGTTGGCCATATATTAAGGAATGTTCTTTCCTTCAACCACATGTTGAAGAAAAGAAAATTGCTGAAATCCCTTTTTGTATTCTGACAGAGGTTGGATCCCCCATCATCAGAAAACAATAATGATGGCTAAAGCCAACAGCAGTAATTGTACAAAAAAATACTGACAGGCTGGTTGTACTGAAGTCAATCAATAGATCACCTTCAGTGCAACCAGGCTGCCCATAGATGGATTGAAATTTGACTGACTCCTGCTGAACTAGCTGAATTTTTATCCTTTTTATGGCTGGCGTAGGACACAGATGGGATCGAACCACATAATCTTAGTGTAGGCTATGTTGTAAAGTGTAGGTGTGGTCAAAATCTACAATAAACGTACACTATATTGCCAAAAGTATTGGGACACCCCTCCAAATCATTGGATTTAGGTGATCCAATCACCTCCATGGCCACAGGTGTATAAAATCAAGCACCTAGGCATGCAGACTGCTTCTACAAACATTTGTGAAAGAATGGGTCGCTTTCAGGAGCTCAGTGAATTCAGTCTTGGTACCGTGATAGTTTTCCACCTGTGCAATAAGTACATTCTTGAAATTTCCTTGCTAATAAATATTCCTCGGTCAGCTGTTAGTGGTATTATAACAAAGTGGAAGCAACTGGGAACAACAGCAACTCAGTCACGAAGTGTTAGGCCACGCAAAATAACAGAGCGGGGTCAGCGCATGCTGAAGCGCACAGTGTGCAGAAGTCGGCAACTGTCTGCAGAGTCAATAGCTAAAGACCTCCTAACTCCTAACAGTAGCAGTGCGTAGAGAACTTCATGGAATGGGTTTCCATGACCGAGCAACTGCATCCAAGCCTAAGATCACGAAGTGCAATGCAAAGCGTCGGATGCAGTGGTGTAAAACACGCCATCACTGGACTCTAGAGCAGTGACAACGTGTTCTCTGGAGTAATGAATCACGCTTCTCTGGCAATCCAATGGACGTGTCTGAGTTTAGCAGTTGCCAGGAGAACACTGCTTACCTGGCTGCATTGTGCCAAATGTAAAGTTTGGAGGAGGGGGGATTATGGTGTGGGGTTGTTTTTCAGGGGTTGGGCTTGGCCCCTTAGTTCCAGTGAAAGGAACTCTTAAGTTGTCAGCATATCAAAACATTTTGTACAATTTCATTCTCCCAACTTTGTGGGAACAGTTTGGGGATTGCCCCTTCCTTTTCCAACATGACTGTGCACCAGTGCACAAAGCAAGGTCCATAAAGACATGGATGAGCGAGTGTGGGGTGGAGGAACTTGACTGGTCTGTACAGAACCCTGACCTCAACCCGATAGAACACCTTTGGGATGAATTAGTGCAGAGACTACAAGCCAGGCCTTCTCGTATGACATCAGTTGCAGACCTCACTAATGCGCTTCTGGAAGAATGGTCAAACATTCCCATAGACACACTCCTAGGCCTTGTGGACAGCCTTCCCAGAAGAGTTGAAGCTGTTATAGCCGCAAAGGGTGGGCCAACTCAATATTGAACAGTATGGACTAAAACTGGGATGCCATTAAAGTTCATGTGTGTGTAAAGGCAGGCGTCCCAATATTTGTTTGGTAATATAGTATAGCATAGCTCTCCAGTTCATGTACAGTTGGCCATGTTATTGTCTCTTTAAAAAGCGACAAGTACTGAAAAATATCATATGATTCTTTCAGAAATACACACTGAACTCGGTGTAGAGTTATTCATCCTTAGGTCATCACAGAGGACAAGGGGGCACTCTTTACGTCTGAAGGAAAAGAAATTTAATCTCCAAATACGGAAAGGTTTCTTCACAGTAAGCTGTGAAAATGTGGAATAGATCAAGAGTTGGTTCTGGCCAGCTCAGTGGATTGCTTTAAAAAAGGCCTGGGTTCATTCTTGGATACGCAGAATATAACTGCTTACTAACGGATATTCCCTGGATCAACTTTGCCTATGTAAAGTTGATGCAGGGAATATCCGAATGTCTCTCGGGGGATCAGGAAGGCATTTTTTTTTCCCCTGCAGGAGCAAATTGGATCATGCTTTGCTGGGTTTTTTTTTCCCTTCCTCTAGATCAATTGTGAGTGTAGGATTATAACTTTTTTTTTTTTTCTATTTTTATGGTTAAACTTGATGGACTTTTGTCTTTTTTCAGCCAGACTTACTATGTAACTTCACTTTTAGGGCATGACCAGTAATATGCTATATGAGAAAAAGTATTTGCACCAATGAGAACATTCAAGATGCTTTCGTTCTCCAGAGGGACACATATTGAGGCTGCCCCTTATTGACGCTCCTATCTGCCATAGCAATGAAGCCTCTGGCATATATGATCACAGTCACTAATCAATAAAGGCCTAATGTGGGGCTCAATGGAGGGGAATCTATTCATATGCACATGATAGTGTATGCTATATATGAATAGTATTAAAGTGGTATCTTTGATAAAGTCAGTTACAAGCTGAAAGCGTTTCAATACATAAAAATATACCTAAAATGTTTTTTTTTTCTTCCAGCTGACGATGCTGATATTGTGATTAAGGGTGTGCAGGCTTCTCCAGCCAACATTAACAGGAAACAACACAGAAAGAAAAGCTCTAAGCAGAAGCCAAATACAGGCTGTTATGTAATGTACCCTAGGGCAGCGTTTTTCAACCACTGTGCCGCGGCACACTAGTGTGCCGTGAGATATTGTCTGGTGTGCCGTGGGAAAAATTGCAATTTCATCCGTAACATAGACCTTTTAATCCGGCCCGCGGAGCGTGATACTGTCAGGATGATCTGACCCCCTCGACGTATCTGCGCATGTGCCGGAGATCGCCGATCGGCTGCTAATGCCTGAAACTGGCACATGCGCAGATACGGCGAGAGGAACGCGCGGAGCAAAGGTAAGTGAAGTGACACAGGGGGGGCTTGGGGACTTAATATGGGGGATGAATTAATATGGGGGATGAATTACTATGGGGGATGAATTACTATGGGGGGTGAATTACTATAGGGGGGATGAATTACTATAGGGGGGATGAATTACTATATGGGGGATGAATTACTATGGGGGATGAATTACTATATGGGGGATGAATTACTATATGGGGGATGAATTACTATATGGGGGGGTGAATTACTATATGGGGGGTGAATTACTATGGGGGGATGAATTACTATATGGGGGATGAATTACTATGGGGGGATTAATTACTATATGGGGGATGAATTACT